CAGGCTGGGAATTCTGCTACTAGTCTGGATTTATAACCTTTTGCCTTTCCCAACAAAGCTCTGTGTGGTCTGTGAGCTGTCAATGTGATTTTGGACCCTAGCAAAGCAGTAAGATTAATGTTGGATGAACAGAAAAGAGGTATGGAAGCAGGACGGTCATGTCTGATCTCATAGGAATTGCTTTTGTGTTGTTCATGCTGTTGATGGAGACAGTTCCCCTTTGTGATTTTTGATAGGGGTCAGTTACGGCCATTCCCACACAGCCCTTGCTCTTTTTACAGTAGGAGAAGCTACTGGAAAGGTGGAAGGACAGTGAAGGAGAGGAAGACCCTCAACCAGATAGAATGAACCAGTGACAGCAGCAGTGGACTCACAAGTAAGTAAGAAATGATGAGGATGGTGCAGGATAGAACAGGGTTCAGACCTGTTCAAAGCAGTCACTTAGGAGTCTTACTACACAGCACCTAAAAGCCACCACCACCTAAGGTAGACAACATACCTAGAGGGCTGTGGAGTCACTTTTGTCTTATCAAAGAGTAATAAAAGTTACTGTTGTTAGTTGTTATGTGCCATGGGGTCGATTGTGACTCACTGTGACCCTTGGAACAGTAGCTCTGAACTCTATCCTAATCCAATTTCACTATCTCCGACATAACTACCTCTTTATCCCACTGTGTCAATCCATCTCGTCCAGGGCTTTCTTTCCTCTCCTGCGCTGACCCTCCACCCTTCCCAGCATGATGTCCTTCTCCAAGGACTAGTCCCTTCTGACAATATACCCAAAGTTCAAAATCCTTGCCTCCAAAGAGCAACCTGGCTTCACCATCTCCAGGACAGGCCTCTTTGTTCTTTTGGCAGTCCAAGGTAGATAATACGATTGTCTGATTCAAAAAGGCACCGGCCAGCTAAGATAGGCTACGAGACCACTGCTATATCCCGAGTCCACACTGCACGGGAAAAGGGGATCCTCTCTAACACGCCACACAGGACAATTGAGTAAATAGAGCAGCCTGTCTCTCTGCCTCCCCCTAGTGTTCACTTGTGGCACTCTCCACTCTTGGAAATGCATTCCCACTCGGAAAGCTGAGGCGCCGCGGAACCTTTGCGCGTCCAGCCTCGCGCGTCTCGATCTCCGGACCCGGAGCATTAAGCGCAGCGCGGCTGGCCCCGCCCCCGCCCGGCGGCGCGCCCCCTCACCCGCGATGCCGTAGTGCTGCGCGGCGGCGCAGGCCAGGCGGCCTGGCAGGTACGGGGAGAACTCGGCCGCGTAGCCGTGGCGGCCGGGCACCCGTAGCGTCTGCACCGCGCCGCCGCCCGCCGCGCTCATGCCGCCCGCCGCCTCCGGATCTCACCGCCCGGGCCGGAGGAACCAAGTTCCACTCCGAAGCGACCAGTTCCTGGACTCGCTAACAGAAGTTGGAGGGACCCGGGCTGAAGGGGCGGAAGTAAGAGCTCGGTGCCCGGAACTCTGGATTCCGATTGGTCCGCAAGGGAAAGGGCATGACTCCCGCTGAGACCATTTTGGTTTAGGGCAAAACAAATCACTGATTTTGTAGCTGCGAGGATGCAGACTTCACCGAAACATGAAGCTCTAGGGTTTGCTGGTGGTTCTGAGCAGCTCTGGGTTTGTCTAGTAACCTCCACCGCGGAGACAGCTGGACTTTTTCCATTTATTGAGCTTCTGAAAGACCGGCAGCTCACTGAATTTTACTAATGATTACAACACGTGACAAACTACAGAAAACGCCAACCGTGCCCCGAGTCCAAAAGGCAACTGAATGCTGTTATTTATACAAGAGAGCTTAAGAATTATTATCTTAGAACTAGAGAAGAAAAATAGCATAAGAATTAAATGTTCTTTTAAATTCTCACTAGATGTATAATAAATGCTAAGTGCTCAGATGAATAAACTAAGGCGTATTTAACAGAGTTCAGAAAAATAGCGAACGACGCACCTGGCGCTGCAAAAGACTCCCGTGAACCAAATACCAAAAACTATTTGGAAGCCCAAAAGGAGAAACTTTCTCTACCGGTGCTGTCTCTTGCTTAATAAACCTTTTCTGCTTTAAACTACTTTTTTCGCTGCGGTGTTTTTTGGTGTTGGTTTGGGTTGGGTGTTTTTGGGGTTTGTTTTTTTTTTTTTCCGTTTTGGGTGGGGTTTTGGCCGGGTGGGGTTTTTAAAAAAATTTTTTATTTCATGCCGGTTTACATACCAAGTTCTTAAAATTCGTAAATGTTCTTTTTCACACCGGATCTTTTCGTTTTACCATCCCTCCCTCTACCCATCAAATTGTTGGGGACCCTATGATTAAGCCCTCTTCCCCTCTTTTGATCCGCGTACTGGTTCTACAATCATGGTCTTATACAGTATTTGTCCTTACGGAACTGAGCTAAGTTCACGTAGCATAATGCTCTCCAGTTCATTCAACACATTGGAATACTATGCAGCACGCAAGAGCAATGCTTTTGTAATTACTACCTAACATGGGAAGGGACTGGGACTCTCCCTGTGTTTTATGTTCTCCCTTAGCTCTTCTGCTTTTGACTCAAGGAGCGGAGCAGTCTTGCTATATCAGCCACACCATGAGCCAGGTCCGGGAGCTTCCCCGAGACCCCAACATTCGTCATGGTGCTAAAACCCGAGACTACTCCAGAGAACGCCAAAAAAGACAGCCACCAACCTGGTGCTAGAAACTTCGAGCCCGGGTTTGCGCTAATATATGAGTGGGAGCCATCCAACTGACCTTAAGATGTTTAAGTAGCGTTAAGTCCTCCTTCTCCCCAGTATAATCAATTAATTTCTATTTCATCACTTTCTTCGGATGGGTTTTCCCCCCTTGCGTCTTGCCACCCAGTCAAAGAAAGATTTCAAATTCCTCCTTAGAAAAGAAAGCTAAAGGTACGCTGGATAACCCACTGCCAGTTGTCTTCCATGTTGTGTTCTCTGCTGAATTCTATTGTGAGCATTCTGTAAGAATTGTCCAGGAGGAGACCACTTTTTCTTCCTATTGAGCATAGGAGACACATCTGCCTTTAAAATTACCAGCAAGAAGTAGCCAACTCTGGTTGAGCCTGTTATTTCTGCTTCTCTTAAATTTTTATATTTTCTCAGAGAAAAAGTGGATTTGCCTTTCATAGGCTATATGTATTTACCTTATTGCCCTAACCTTACTATCTTTTGGCTCCTAACAGCATGCAACCAGACAAAATGGAAGAATAGCTTAAATAAATATTTCGGAGGTGGTGGCCAAAGGTGAGAATTTTACAGAGTGTTGGGTTTGCCATCCCAGAGTTATACGTCTGAAAAGACTGAGGTCACATTTCTTAGTTTACTGTGTTAATTCCTTACTTCTGAACAGCTTCAGCCTTAGTCAGATACCTTATTCCTCATCAGTAAAACCATGGACAATCACCACTGGGTGGAGTAACAAGCCAGCTTCTCCTCAGTGTGTTAGACTAACCCCTGTAATCCAGAAGTAAATGTACCCAGCCCCTCTCCAAGGTGCAGTTCTTCCAAGTGTACTCCGTGTTACAATATTACCCAGGTTGGCTCTCTGAAACATTGTCTGCAATGCTTAGAAATGTCTTTACTACAGGAGGAGACCTTTCCAGAATCAGCCAAACTTATTCATTAGTTCATCCTATAAATTGGACTGATGTGGTGTGCATATCCAATTATGAATCAAATTGCAGATCTAATCAAACTTGTAGAGCTTCCACAGTAGATGATGAGACTGTTAGTAATTGCAGCAGTTGGAAAATGTCCAAGCTAATCTTTAGGGTTCCACACTTTGCAAAGCAACCTGAAGGAGAAAGAGGTGGGATGGAGACCTTTAAGTTCATGTAACTGTATCACCCCTTCATAGATGTCCATTTTTCATTCCACCAGTCTCAACTATATAGAGTCACTCCCTGGAATAGTGTGACTTTGCACGCCAAACTTTTACAGATTCCAATTAAATAATAACATGCTCCCATTTGTGTCATGATAAGCATATTGGGGGCTGCACCATAGGACACCTGGCCCACAGTGGAATTCAAGTCTTAAATAGAACACTGTAAAGTTTCCATTTCAGAACTAAATAGACCATAGGAATGAGCCATAGTCGCAGAGGTCCTTGGAACTGTCCCTGTAGTTGCCCCGCAGGGAACACTTAGCCATCCTGAGTGTATCTTCTGTGCCCTCACTTCCTCACCATTACAGCTTCTGCTGCAGCCTCCTTGGAAGGGCCATCAGCCTCACCAGAGTCTTCAGCAGCAGTTTTTGACAATCGCCTTGCCACAGATTTTGTCTTCACAGAGTATGGTGCAGTATGTGCTGTAACTACTAAAACTTACTGTACATAACAATTCTGGATTCGTGGAAACAAATATAAAGAAAATATATGAAGAGGCCAAACACAGCAAAGAGTTACACAGCATGAAGTCCCCAAGCAAATCCACTGCTTTCATGGTTTGGTGGGTATGCTAGCATTCAAGAAGTGCAGGATTTATTTCTATTTGTGTCATATAATATAAGGCATAGTTTAGTGAAATTGAACTGTGCATCTTGCTTTATTCTACTTAAATCCCATGGGCTTTGATTTGTAAAAAAATCAAAACATAAATCTGTGCAAAGCCCCTCTGTGATCTCAAGCCCTGCCTTGAATGTTACTTTTTAGAATAAATGGGGGAAATTATCAGGGGTAGATAAAAACCTCTGTTTGCCTCAAGGACAGCAGGTGCAGGCAAAGATCACTCCCATTAGCCAGAGAAAAGAAGGTAACAATGTAGCAACTAAATGCCTAAATACTTCCCCAGTAAGCAGGAACACTGTTGAGAAAATGAAATCATTGTTTCAAAAAGATAAGAACTGTTTCTCAAGCAACCAAAGGAGCCCTGTAACTCTGGACACACACACACACACACACACACACACACACACACACACACACACACCACACATAGATTATTTTTTAAACTATTATATATAACCACTTGATTGTGTAAAAGAATATGTCTGTGGGTTCAAATCCACCAGCTGCTCCATGGAAGAAAGATGAGCAATCTCTTCCTAAGCAATGAAACTGCCTCTGAGACCTCCCTGGGGGGTCAGCTATGGGTTATTTCTGATTCAACCCTACACAACAACAACAAAATGTGAAAGAAACAAGGCAATCTTGGAGAAAGATATCTTGACCTCCCAGACCTGTTAATAAAATATACTAAATAGAAGCAATTTTGCCTAGTCTCTAACTCCCAACTATAGGCCCCTTTGTCCAGTTAAAGGTATGGGGGCTCTATCCTTTATCAGACCAGCATTTGTCCTTACTATTACTGTCACTATTAGGGTCATGTCTTTTTAATATCCTTCCAAAGTTTATCTTTTCTAGACTTCAAGCTTTCCAACAATAACAACAACACCAAAAAAAAAAAAAAATGCTGGTGCAAGGATACTGGTGCCCACCTCTCAGCAGTCCTAACACCACAAATCACTTTGATCTTGTCTTAAAGGAAAGTCAAGGGAAAGAGGGATCCTGAAGGTAGGACTGTGTCCCAAAGAACAGCGGGAAGTAGCCAGAATGAAAGAAACCCCACTCCATAATGGTTTTTAGACCCATCTCTCTCAGAGGGTTCCCTAATAAAAGTTACAAAAGAAAAAAGAGAAACAAAGAGAAAAAGGGTCAAAGGGTAGACCAAGGAAGAACCTGAAAGTAAACTGAGGTCATGAGGGGAATCAATCAGAATTTGCCATCGTCTGAGGTGAGTATATGGGAACCAATTGCATCACTCAAAAAGTTCCCCACTAAAAAAAAAAAAAAAAAAAAGTTCCCCACTGCCAAGTCATGAATTTCAAGAAGAATAAGGAAGTACCAAAGCCTCTATGTTTGAAAGGCCAAAAAGGGGAAGGGTCTAGTCCCACCTGCTTAAATAGCAAGCTCTCTTTACTGCTGAGAGTGCCTCGTGCTTAATAAATGCTTTCTGCTTTAAACCACTTTTATTCCCATATTTTATATTCTTCTTTCTCTCTTGCTACACTCGCCTCAATGAGCAACCGGGCAAGATCACCCTCAGCCTAGGAACTGGGTTTGGGAGCTCCGCTGAGACCACAGCACACTCATTCATTTACCATGCATGGCCTGTTATTGTGAGATGCCATTGGGTCACCTATGGTTCATACTAAACCTGTGAACAACAGATCTGAGCCTTGCCCTATCCTGTACCATCCTTGCCAGCTCTGGTATGCTTTGGTCCATTGTTATAGTCATTATGCCAGTCTATCTTGTTGGGAGTTTTCCTCTCTTTCTCTGACACTTTTTTCCAGAATGATGTCCTTTTCCAAGGACTATCCCTCCTGGTATCATGCTCAAAATATTGAGACAAAGTTTCAACATTCT